CCCCAAAACCCCAAAACCCCAAAACCCCAAAACCCCAAAACCCCAAAGAAATAAAAAAATATTGTATGGTATCAAACATTCATTTTTCGTATAAATTATCTAAAGTGAATGCCACCTTCATTAAATACACTAAGGAGTTGGAGAAAGTCGGTTGTGTCCATTTTGGCTGACCTCTTCTTTGTGAGCTTAGCCTCCTCCAAAATAGTGACTATTTTCTGCTTGAATTCTGCCAAAGGGGATCCTTCTTCCTCACCATCCATGTCATCATCCTTTTCATCTTCTTCTGGGTTTTCGGACATCTCATCATCACCTTCATTTTGCTTGAATTTCTGGAGTCTTTCGAGGCACTTTTGCTTACGACTCTTCTTCTTACTCGACTCTAAAGAGCAAAATTAGAAAAATTTTAAACGACAGATGTAGAAGGAATGAAGCTTACTCTGTTCACCTTTGATGTCATTGAGCATGTCTTCATCAGCTTCCATAAGTTTTGAGTAATCCTGGGCTTCTTCATCACCGACCTTGTTCTCCTCTTCATTATTCACCGCAGTTTGGTATATTTTGTAGTTATCAAATAACATTTTGACGATCTTTTTCTGCCTGAAAATAGATCCAAGAGTCTTGTTCTTCCTCATAAAGCAGATTCTTAGAAGGCCATCCCACTCAACAAAGTTGATCTTAGGTGGAGGGTATATTGGCTCAATCCTAACAACACTAGACTCGACCTTTGGAGGTGGTTTAAAACTATTCTTTGAGACTTTCATGATATGATCTCATTTAGACAAAAGCTGGACGTTGACACTCAGTCTTCAGTAAAGACTACTCCCTGGCTTTGCCACAAGTCGCAAAGCAAACTCTCTTTGAAACATCAGAACAGCACATTTGAACACAGGTCTGTGAGCGAGTAATTTGAAAGTGAAAGGAGAGGAAATTTGGTATGGAAGATTGGCCACTCACACATCAAAGAAAGGAAAGTCAACTTTCAAAGCATCCCCATGTATAAGATCGAATTTATGCCCGTAACCCAACTTCTTCATTCTTTTTGTAACTTCCGCAGCCATTCTTGGGTCAATCTCGACTGCTATGACCTTCTTTGCTTTCTCTCACAACATTTGGGTCAAATTACCTGTTCCTGGTCCAATTTCAAGGACCACATCTGAGGACTTGATGGCAGTCTTATCGACTAAATTCTTGACCACGAGTGGATTCTTGAGAATATGCTGCCCAAAAGTTTTGTCAAAGGTAAAGTTAAACCCGTCTCCTGCAGCGTAACCATTTTTCTCCATTTTGTAGTGTTAATTTATTTTACTAAACCATTCTTTTTGGGGTTTTGGGGTTTTGGGGTTTTGGGGTTTTGGGGTTTTGGGG